TCCTGGAAGTTGTCCTCTGACCTCCACACATAAAGTGTGGCACATAAATACACACACACACACACACACACACACACAAACACATTAAAAAATATTAAGTTACATTATCCTGCTCAAGTTGGAATATTGAGAAGGCTGCTTGCTTGTTTTTTCAAAATGTATCAAAAGCAAAACAGGCTAAAAATAATTCTAGTACAATTTCTATTTCCTACATTTGTGTAAAGCTATGTGTTATTTTAACTAAGCATCTGGTCTTTGTCCCTCATGTAAAAATCCCTAAATTTTCTTGAGTTTTTGGCCAGAGGTACCAGAACCCTGTGCCAAGCCAGTAAAAATCACACATTCTTCCCAAGAGGGAAAAAAATGTCAATAAAACAAAGCATTGAAAAAATGTAAAAGCTCAAATAGGAGAGCTATGAAGGCTATGCCCTAATCAGCCTTGCAAATTGTTTTAAATTTTTTAAATTCCACTACTTGTAAGATCTAATACTGGAGGTTTATTCAATATATTGCTATTAAAATTTTTTTTTTCCTTCCAACATGGGGATCCAGCCAGTTATTCACCCTCCAAGAATAAATCATGTGAATTAATTTTTATAAATATTTAATGTCTATCCTTGCATTGCACAAATTGATTCTTTAGGTTACTTCAACTAGAGTTGAATTTTGACATCTCTCACTACATGGAGAAATAATCCTTGTCTCACATTTGCCTCAGCACCTTCCCAGGCCTACCATTGTCATCTGTCACAGAGAAAGCCAAGCCATAAATACAGTCTTGCAATCAAAATATGACAAGTTCATTACAACGAAAGACTCATAATTCTCAAGGCAGAGGAACTACCGGTACATTTTTTAAATAATAATTTTATACAGTCTGTATATGGTACTTTACTTGGAACAAAGACCGGTATTTTTTTTCTCTCTCTACCATACATAATAGTGAAATTAATTATATCATAATACCACCTCCCATCCCACTTTAAAAGAGCCAAAAGTTAACAGATGGCTGCAAAATACTTTGGAAACATGAAACACAACATAAGAGTCTAATAACCATATATTCTTCTGTGTAACTCAGCAATTGGATTGCGCTTAGGTGGGAAGAAGTAAGCATTGAAAAAGGCAAATATCCCAAAACTAAATGGCTGGGTTGGGAGTGAGAAACAGGGCTCCATAACCAGATTCATGTGGACTTTAAAATTGGCCACCCTAGTAGACCTCTCCCATAGCTTAGGAAGTGTGCCTCCATGAGTTAAGTGAGATGCCCCTTCAACATAGGGTTTTTAAACGTGCAGCCCATGGTACACAAACAATCTTTTAATTTAAATACTTTACCAGAAACCTGGGTAGAACAGCACCTTTTGAACATGGGTCACTTCTATTCCTCATTAGCAGAAATTACTTGTTCCCAGTGATTATTACTTGCCAAAAAGCAGAAAGTATCTAATAGGCATAGAAAGATAAGCAAAGAGCCCTGCACCCAAGTCTGCTGCTCCATGGGAGAACCTACAGCATGTCCAAGAAGCCCTCCCTGGGGCTGGGCGTCAACTCAGCAAGACCCACTGGAGCCCACTGATCTGGAGGTGTGACCCTGAATGCGCCCAATCTTGTCTGATCTCCGAAGCTAAGCAGTGTCGGGCCTGGTTAGTACTTGGGTGGGAAAGGGTTCTTAAGAAGCAGAGAGTTAGGCCAGAGAAATCAGCAGAAGACAGGTTATAAATGTGGGCTTTCTGAGTGATTCGGAGGTAAATAGGAAGCCACTGAAGGTATTAGGAAGGTCATAAATAGTTGCATTGTGGAGAAAGTGTCAAAGAAGAAAAAAGGGGAGGGCTGGAAATACAGCTCACTGATTAAGAGCACTGGCTGCTCTTGCAGATGCCTGAGGTTCCATTCCTAATACCTACACAATGGCTCACAACTGTCTTTAACTTCAGTCCCAGAGGATCTGATAGTTCCTCTGGCCTCTGTTGCCACCAGCACATACTTGCATGTAAGCAAGTTTATATTCTAGACAAGAAGACATGGTGTCTTCAATGGAGATGGAGAAAAATTAGCAAATCTAAAAACTCCTTAGACGTTAGAAGAGACCAGACCTCACTAGAATAATCAGTAATTATCCACACCAGAGTTCCAGTCCCGGGTCTGACACCTATATAAACATCTCCGTTTCCCTTTCTGAACCTTGACTGTTGTTCCCATGGAACAGTACGTGCTGGTGAAATGATTAAGAAAGTTAGTAAATCACAAAGTACTTAGAATGGGTCTTGGCATGTGTGATGAGTACATAAAAATATACTATTGAGTATAATGTTCAAATCTAGACACAACTTAATGAACTTCAGAGTGGGGCGAGGGGGCAAATGGAAGAGAATAGCCAGGGATGACATGGGGACTCTGACTTAGACAACTGGATGGATGGTGATGAATGTAAAAGTTACTGACTGCCTCAGCTCCAAATCTACCTTTCAGCACATGATGCCAGGCCATGGCCCCAACCCAGTAAGCATCTTTCTTTTGAAGGAGGCACGTTGTGCTAGAAAAGACTCTGGCTGCAGAGTCGTTTGCTTCACTGCTGTCTCATACATAGCTGCCACTGGTTCATGTTGGGGACACCATGGTGCTCACCCACATCAAATCCCCGTGAAAACTGCCCAGGGGTCTCACAGATATCCCCGTTCTTCACCTGTACCCAGACTGTCTCATGCATGTGGTGTGGACAAGCAGACCCAGAGACAGTAGCAAATTTCTCTGTCATCCATATCTTCTCCAATATGATCTGAATCCTGGATGATTTGCTTTCTCCCTAGATATTCTACTTCAGCACCAGTGAATGCCTTTTCCCCTTTAAAATTAACCCTCAGAGGTGGGGGGATGGCTCAGTGGGTAAGGGCACCAAGTCTGACAACCTGAGTTGGTTCCCCAAGACCTAGATGAGAGAAGGAGAGGACTGACTGCAGCCAAGTTGTCCTCTGACACATGTGCCATGCCATGAGCACACACACACGCACACAATATTTTTGTAATCTCTGAATAGAACCTAAAAGTAACGCATGTGCATGAATAACACAAGCCAGCAAGAAACTTAAGTAAAATTTGTATGTCTGTGTATCTCCCCAAACAGTTCCAGACTTCTACATCCATATGCATGTATGCAGTGGTACATTTCGCCAAGGGTATATGGCGGTTCCATGCAGTGTATGTCCTACAGGGTGGTTCTCTATTTGTTAAACTTCTCAATGTTAAAATAAAAAACATGGTAGAAAACAGCCAACTTTCGTTTGAGTTGGATTTTTATGATGGGAAACCTAGGGTAGTGAGTCACAGGGGCCCCTCCAGATGTTGACTAGAATAACCTCTAACTGATGTGTCTGTACCCTCAGCACCACTGAAACCGGTGGCCTGCTTGGAAGCTCTGCATTCTTTGAAAAGGGCTAGACACAAACCAAATTTTAGAGATCCTGGGTGGTGCTTTCTACTTTTCCCAGGGTGTGAACTTGAAGGGGGAAAAAAAAACTTGTCCCTTGCTTCATCATTTCTCAAAAGTTTGTCTCTGCTGACCACAAAAAGGGAAGTCCCATCAGCAGTTTGCAAAAGAACAATTTGGGAGAGAAGTATATTAAATCCTAAGGGAAATTAAACCCAAATAATCTAATAACACCATTACAAAATTAACACAGGACTATGAATTGAATTAATTGCCTCCTACTGTGGGGACTCTTGGCTACCACAGACCAAAACAAATGGGGCTCACAAAGTCCACTGCCTTGAGAGGTCGTAGGCAAGTGTGGTCCTGAGGCCATGGAGAGTTTACCTGCTGCCTACTCTGGCTTATGTAGAGACCTTCAGGATGGAGAAGAGTCACTCCTGCCATCTCACCACCTTGAGTTATGTACAGAGGTTAGAGAGGGCAGAGAGAGGGTGGGGGGAGAAGATAGAGCAATGATAGACGTTTTCGTCAAGTCACACGGAGTGCCTCTGTGTGGAAGTGGATGGATCTCCGTGTGAGGTCTAGCTCTCTTAGGGGACAACAGGTCTGATGGGACTCATAGTGGCTTCTCTGGTGTGTGTCTGGTGATAAGGCAAGTCTTTAAGAATACCAGCCACCTATTACAAAAGAGACTCGCTGTGGCATTTCAGTAAATACACATTTATTTCTATAAATTGTCTTTTAATGCCATGATGTCAGTATGCCTGTGGCAGAGTGAGATTACCTAAATAATATGGGCCCTGGGAGTAACAAACGGAGCATGTGTGTGACTAACTCATCCCCTGCTAGATTCTTTAACTTCTGGATTTTGAGCAGGAGGGTAGGACGTGGTGGCTTTATAGAAATAAAATCCTGGTGATTTATATACGTTTGCCAAATTAGACCCTCAAGGCAAATACAAACTGGCTGAACTGTCTCCCAGAAGGCCTCCTGAACATTCTCTCTGCTGCTCATCCTCCACCTGACAGCTGACATTTACTCTTGGAGCTTTGTATTAACCGAACAATATTTTACAAAAATAATTAATCCATGGCATTTTATTGGGATACTATGGCGACTTACAACTTTTTTCACATTCTTAATTTGGTTTGACATTTTGAAAATATTATGCCTAACTCTTTTGTCTGAATTATTTAAAACACAGCTAGTGTGTACTGAATCTCCCCCCCCCCCTTTTACGCTTCCCTCAAAAACTAACAAAAGCATCAAAAACAAAAGATTTCTTGTTTAGGCTCAGAGAAATAAAGCATCCTGTTTGTTTGGAATCCTGATGACTGGTGCCCCAATCTTACCTAATTAGGAAAGCCTGGCTAATGAGGAAGGATTTTTTCAAAGTCAATGGATTTGCAAACACAGACATTGTTGTCCCCCCAGAATGAATTAAGCTCCTTCCTTACATGCATATTTTAGTTACACACTCTAATTAATAGTACTACTTAAAATGTGTGGAATTCATCTCTTATGGTATAAAAACACTGAGTTCCCTTCTTGTAGACTCATAAACACCAGGCTGAACATATTAACTCAATTTTGGATTTAGACAGAATGGAAATTATTTCATCAAAACGATTCATTTTGTTGACTTTAGCCATTTCAAGCTTACTGACATCAAACATCTTCTGTACAGAAGAATTGATGATGCCCCATTTTCACAGCAAAGAAAGGGATGACAAATATTCCCAGGTAAGTCTTAAAATCTACCTAATGCAATGGGCATTCTTATATTTATGGTTGTGAGCCTAGCCTTTAACGGCTGAGTTATCCCTCCAGCCCTACAATGGACATTCTATATATACACACTAAAGTAACTGACATTCTATACATACACACTAATATAACTGACATTCTGTATGTACACACTAATGTAAATAACTTTCTGTATGTACACACTAATGTAACTGACAGTCTATATATACACACCATGTAACTGACATTGTACACATATACACTAATTTAGCCAACATTCTATATGTATACACTAATATAAATGACATTCTGTATATATATATATATATGCACACACTATTTTCCTGAATCTAATGCTTCTGCAGAGACTAAGTAAAAATAATAAGTTTGTAATTTGTTTTATTTTTTATTTTGGTTTTCTGTCACACTTCAGCTTTTCTGTGACAATACATGATGTCACTTTGTAAAATGTAGCACAATAGCAATCAACCTGGCCTCTCTAATGACAAGTGTACTGCACTCGGTGTATAATATTTAGCAAGGAGAAGGTGAATTAGTACATGTCAGTTGACTCAGAGATGCACGCTTATAATAAAGAGAAATAGAAATAAGATTTGGATGCATTCCAGCTGGAAGCTTGCATGATAAGCACAACATTTGTACTTTCTCCTTAGCAATCACAAACTGGTAAGTTTGTGGTGTCTTTAAATCTAGGAAAACTGTTCGTCCCTACATCAGGAAACTGCAAATTATGTTTATTCTCGGTGTTTAAGTATTCTGCAAAGTTTCTGGTTAGCATGATCACTCGAGTCACAATCAGAAATGAATTAAGTTTTTTAATGTGGTCCAGTGTTCAAGGGAGAACCAAGTCTAACTAAATATCCAAGGCACTCATGTGGGTTGGGTAAGTAGGTTTGCTGGAGGTATAGGAACTCACAAATGAACTTCGACTCTCACTGAAAATGTCATTTGTAGTCTAATTAAAGAGCAAATGGATTTTTGAAACATGGTTTTAGAATGGAGCTATGACAGAGTAGAGAGAGAAACACAGTGGGACTGCCTGGCCAGGCTAGATCCAATTCTGTGTGCCACTTGGCCTTCAAAGGGGGAGGTGAAACGTGAGGCCTGCAGAAAGAAAGGGAGTCTTCTCTAAAGTCATAATAGAAATATATAAAAACATTCCATAAACAATGAATCAAAAACCTGGGAGAGAATGACTGTAATAAAATAAACGTTCACCTCATTTCAATACTTCATTATATTCCTGCTGCTTAAACATACTGCTGTACTCACTATATATTTTTATTAATATTTTATAGTTGTCTTATAATAGTCAAGGGACAGAGAAACTAGATTGCTTTAAGAAGCTTAATACAAATTATTTACTTAAAAATTCTGCTTATAGGAATGCAAACTTTGTTTATAGCTAGAGCAAGTCTGCAGCTTGAAGTCTAGATTTAAGTTAATTTAGGATTTAATCCATGGCTTGTGATAATAATAAATTATTTTAATTGCCATTTCTAATTATAGCCTACAGGAATCCCAAATGGGGAAAAGGAAAGAAGTGTCAGTTTCCAAGAACTAAAAGATTGGGGAGCAAAGAATGTTATTAAGATGAGCCCAGCGCCCGCCAACAAAGTGCCCCACTTAGCAGCCAACCTGCCCCTGAGATTTGGGAGGACCCTGGAAGAGGACAGAAGCACCAGGGCAAGGACCAACGTAGAGGCAAGGACCAACGTAGAGGCAAGGACCTTGGGCCGTGTCCCCAGCCTGCCACAAAGGTTTGGGAGAACAACAGCCAGGAGCATCCCCAAGACACTGAGTCATTTGCTTCAGAGATCCTTGCATTCGCTAGCCACCAGTGAGTTGCTCTATGCCATGACTTGCCAGCATCAAGAAATCCAGAGTCCTGGTGGAAAGCAACCGAGGTAAGTGTAGGAAAGCTGGTCAATGACATGGCCAGAGAACTAAAAACCTTGTCCCATACTGTCACGATGGACTGCTAAGGAAGCCAGCTTCTCCAAGGGCAAAGACAACAGCACAGGTAAGTAACACCTGAGCTCCTCAAGGACGGGTGTAAGAAGACCAAGCCACAGGTGACCATCAGGGTGACAACCTATAGGCCATACACTAAGTCCATGCAATGACAAGATCACAGATTTAAGTTAGGACATATTGTTCAATGTTACATCGCTCTAAAATAAAAGCCCTATGTGAGAGAATTGTTCCCCTGTCCAGAATATACCACCATCTCAATCAGATGGCAAATACAGCCCCCCCAGCAACATTTTTTGGGGATGGTGTAAGAGATGGAATCTGGGCCTTACGCATGCTAGCTAGGCAGTTGCTCTACCACAGAGCTACCACCATCCTAGCCCAACTTTTAAGGAAAGTTTTCTTAGTTTTCTGCATCTGGTTTTATAAATAAATCCTCCTACAGCCATTCTTTGTATTAATTAACAAATATTTGTTATCCCTACATATAAATCAAGGTGTCGGTTACTACATAAGATTAGAAAATGTTACTTCTAATAAAGACTATATATTTTTAAAAAGTTAAAGACTGAAGAAGGTAGGGCTGCAAATTCTGTCACCTAATCAGGGAAGCTGTTTCAGAATACACCTCATTTACTGTTTCCAACAAACTTACTACCCTCTCTCATATGTTTAGGATCAGTTACCTTTAATAGACTTTCCTTTCTATAAATCTCATCATTGTATCTACTGTCATATTCCTAGGGCCTAGACCCGTGAATGCCCCTTTTAAGTCCTGGGTACTGGAGAAAATGAAGGAGTGTTGTAAGATAGCCCTATGGAGAGTGTATCTGTAGGCAGGAACCCAGTGACATTTCCTTGGGAAGGCAGCTGGACTCTGAACATGCAGAGACTGCGGGGAGGAGAGGGGTCTTTTCAGACTAAACGCTGAGTGTAAACAAAGGCACTGAAGCAAGGCCAGCAATGGAGAGCTGAGATCCCTTTTTCAGGACCTAGAACGAGGAAGAGTTCGGGACAAGGGCAGAGGGTAGAGCGCAAACAAAATGCAGACAACCAGGGCCCAGACATGGGTTGGGGTCTCTGTCATCTGGAGATGGAGAATTGCTGCGATTTTGCTGAGGCCCTGGGTTATAATGCAAGGTAGACTTGGGCAATCAAGTCAACAGTAAGTGCCCATCACAAATTCAAAATCCACCCAAAATCCACCATGATCTCATTCATTTCAACTGCAACTCAGTACAGCTAAAGTATAACTAAGAAATCACAAGATGATTTTTTTTTTTTGAGACATCATCTTGCTGTGTAGATCTGACTGGCCTGGAACTGGCTGTAGACCAAGCTGGTCTCAAACTCACAGGGATCCTCCTGCCTCTGCATCCCAAGTGCTGAGACTAGTGTACCTCCACACCCAGGATGGGCTGTATCTTTATGTACTTTGCTTGCTAGAGCTCTGATAGATGAGAACACTCTTTCCTGTTACATTTAAGGAGACAAGCATTCATGGAAACAGACGAAGAAGAAGGGAAACATGAAAAATAGGAAACCTGGAACCCGTCCTTCAAGATGCTACGAAGCTGTGACCTGTGGTGTTGATAAGGAAGAGCATCAATTTTTCCCATCAGTTGGTTATGTTGATGGTTATTAACTAAGTCAAGAATATTTGTAATATAAAGTTGAAGAAACTTTTATCAGAATAAAACAATATTGTAAATAAAGAAGCTTCTGTCTAATGAGAGGAAAGGAATGAGAGAAGGGAGGAAGGGAAGAAGGAGGAGAGGAGAGAGGGAGAGAGGGAAGGGAAGGGAGAAGACAGGGAGGGAGGGCGGAAGGAGGGAAAGAGGGAAGGAGAGAGGGAGGAGAAGATAGGAAGGGAGGGACGGAAGGGAGGGAGGAGAAGAGAGCGGGAGGGAGAGGGGGGGGAAGAGAGTGAGAAACAGAGACTGAAGCTACATGACAAGCATTCTAAAATCACACACACGCCTCTTCCTCCCCGGGTCCCCTCCAGCATCCAGCACTTCCTGCCTCTGTGTCAATAGGTCTATGGGAGCCTGCTGAGCCCAGCCCAGCGCTCACTGTCCAGCACCCACCTCCACCCCCAGCTCAGTCGTCCAGCTGAAGAGATTATGGGTGTGAGATGCAGTCAGCCTTGGCTCCCAGCCAGCTCCTGCTCTCCATGAAGCTATGAGGCCTGGCTAGGACCCACCTGGGCGAACCCCGGCCCAGCTCCTTGGGTTTGTTCCTGCATTCCCTCCTTTCAGCAGGATACCCTCAGGTCTCCAGAGCACCATCAGACAGCCTGGTGCCTTCCGAGGTCAAGCCTGGGCTGCATTCCCAGCAATGCAGATGACAGGAGGTCAGGAGGTCAGGTCTTCCCTCACTGCTCTACATGAAGAAAACCCTACTGTTTGGGGGGGAAAAAAAAAAAGGAAATCACACACACACAAAAAATGTATAAAGACATATCTCTGTATTGCATGAGATTTCCTAATTAGATACACACAGACACAGACAAACAAAAAGTGCAAAATTACACTTCTTAAAAAATCAAGTAGAAAGAGAAGGGGAGGAGAGGAACGCACATGGGACTAGGAAGACTGAGTCAGGGGAGGAATAGACGAGAGAAAGAGACAGAGATCATAAAAGAGGGAGCCATTATAGGTTTGAAGAGAAAACTGACTCTTGAGAAATGTCCAGAGACCTACAAGGATGACCCCCAACTAACAATCTGAGCAACAGTGGAAAGGCTGCCATAGATGCCCTTCCCTGATAATGAGGTTGATGACTAACTTATCCACCATCATAGAGTCCTGGTCTAGTAGCTGATGGAAACAGAAGCAGACACCCACAGCTAAACATTGAGCTGAACTGGAATCTAGATGCAGAGAAGGAGGACAAGACCAGGCTACAGAAACCCACAGAGACAGCTGACCTGAACAAGGAGGAGCTAATGGCTCCCAGACTGATAGCTGGGAATCCAGCATTGGACTGACTCAGACCCCCTGAACATGGGTCTCAGTTAGAAGGCCTGGGCAGTGTAAGGGACCTCAGACAGTGGAGCCAGGATGTGTCCTTGGTGCACAAAAGGACTTTGGGAGCACATTCCCCATGGAGGGATACTCCCTTAGCCTAGAGGCAAGAGGGAGGGCCTAGGCCCTATTCCAAATGACTTGACAGATTTAGATGACCCCTCCTGGAAGGCATCACCCTCCCTGTGGAGTGGGGGGATGATAGGATAGGAGATGGTTATGGTTGGGGAGGATGGGAGGATGAGAGAGGAGGGAGGGAGGGAGGGGGAACTGGGATCAATGTGTAAAATAAGAAAAATAAATTTAAAAAAAATCAAATAAAGTCTAGTGGTGGTGGTGACACACACCTTTAATCCCAGCACTCAGGAGGCAGAGGCAGGCATGTCTCTGTGAGTTTGAGTCCAGCCTGATCTACAAAGCTACACAGAGAAACCCTGTCTGAAAAAACAATTAAATAGAAGGGTCACCTGACAGATAATATGGTGAAAGTTGATGATTGACAAGTAAGTGGGCCAAGGTAACAAGTTACTTGTGAACATGTTTTATTAAAATGATTTCTGTTCTCCATGTCACTGTTAGAGAATCTGTGACAGACAGTCTCACAGACACCTGTCCGTGTAATTTTATAGGACAGAGGAAACCCTGAGATCTTAGCTGGATAAAAGAGAGACCATAATAGTTGTTGTATTTAATGTCCTTGTATCTCTATCCAGAAACTCACCCTTTGCTCTTTATTTAAAATCTTAAGCCTTTAATTTATTGGGAAACCATCTGGCCACTCCTCAACTAACAATTTATAAATGCAGCGAAATCGTACATAAATGCACATTGATGAAACCTCAGTCTTAGGAATATGAAACCCTTCATCAGCTGTAACAGGCTTACTGAACAGTCCAGCTCCACAGGGAACCACAGGAAATGATTTCCTTTCTCTCCCATCAGCTGGGCCTTGTGACTCTGCCACCCCTGCTGGATAGAGATCCATTAACAATACCCTGGACAGATACCATAAGTTCCTTGGTCACTTGGTGATATTAAAAAACTCTGTCACATCTGGGTAAATATACCAACCTCATATCCAAGGCAAGCTGTTCCCTCCCCCATCACTGGCAGACCCGTGGGCCGGGAAGATCTGCAGTGAGGACCAAAAAGTTCTGCTCTTTGCTCTGCCTCTGTGGCCGTGTTGTGGGAGGGAACATGGTAATCTAGAAAACAGTCTGTCTCCTTCTCCAGAGTGTCTGGATGACAGAGAGTAAAGGGAATTCAGGGAATGAGATGCGCATGCAATCTATGTGAAACTGCAGCTTCTCCCGGTGAATTATTCAGGGAGCAGGACCAGGCTTTCACACTGCCTAAGTTGACCTGGGGGCCTAGATGTGGCTGGCTTTCTTCCTCCTGCCTCTATTTGTTCTCCCTGTACCTTCCTGTTGCCAGAGAGAAAGGACTGCCCACTTTTCCAGTAGCCACTAGTTGCATAAACAAGACAGGACACATTGGTCACAAGAGAACAGGAAAGGCTACTACAGAGCTCATGTGTCCCAGGGACCTACCGAGCAGGCTTACAACCCTCCTCAACAAACACACACACACACACACACACACACACACACACACACACACACACACACACAGGCTTACAACCCTCCTCAACACATACACACACACACACACACACACACGCACGCACGCACACACACACACACACAGGCTTACAACCCTCCTCAACACATACACACACACACGCACACACAGGCTTACAACCCTCCTCAACACACACATACAGGCTTACAACCCTCCTCAACACACACACACACACACACACACACAGGCTTACAACTCTTCTCAACACACACACACACACACACACAGGCTTACAACCCTCCTCAACACATACACACACACATGCACACACACACACAGGCTTACAACCCTCCTCAACACACACACACACAGGCTTACAACCCTCCTCAATACACACACACACACACACACACACACAGGCTTACAACTCTTCTCAACACACACACACACACACACACAGGCTTACAACCCTCCTCAACACACACACACACACACACACACACACAGGCTTACAACCCTCCTCAACACACACACACACACACACACACACACACACACACACACACACACACACCAGAACTCCATGAACACTGCAATCAAAGAAACCAAAGGCTGCCCAGCAGCATGTGGGATCTGAGCGCCAGAATGAGCGAGAACTTCACCTTTTCACCCACTGTAGTAGCTGGGACAGCAACTCGCTCCATATGTGATCTCTTTACCTCCTCTTCCCTGCTGTTTAGCTTCTGCTCTCACCTGTGCCCCAGGACTTTACTTGTTTGGGTATCACACCACTCACTCACTCAGATCTTAGGGCAGGCCTCATTGGATTCCTTGAATTCTTCCCAACAACCTGTACCCCTGTGGCGCCATCTTCTTTGAGGCCTCCCCAGTGCTGAGTGGATTATAGCATCATTGTGCTCCTGAAACTCCAAAGGTGTGGGTTAAATCATCTCTTTTTAAAATAAGGCACCAAGTTTGAAGTATTTTGATAATCGCAACAGAAAACAAGATCTGCCCCTTCCTAAGGTCATGACCCCTATCATCTCCTACAACACTCCAAAACGAGTGTAAATATCCAGCCCATAGACAAGCTTAAGCTATCCAGACCATGCCACCTGGCTTCCAGGCAAAGTGAGCTAGAGCAGGGATTCTCCAGATCGCTCATCTCCTGGCCTTTGTTGTTCACCCCAGAGTGGCTTCATGGACCAGTGACCTATGCAGTCTCACAGGGCCCCGCCTTGATGTTAAAGTTTGAAAATGATTTCAATGTGACCATCAAAGGTTCATGTGTTAGAGTCTTGGTCCCCCATATGAGTGTATGGAGATGTGAGCCTAGGGGTCATAGGTCATTGGAGTACCACATCCACAAGGCATTAGAGAAGTATTCCTAGAACGCCTGGGTGACGTTCTAGTTTTGTGACTTTAGCTCACACTGACTCAAGACTTCTGGTTGCCTCTTTCTCTTCTAATCATTCCTGTACTAACAGGCTCCCACCATTGTACATCTTTATGGTCATGATATGATGAAATGTGCCCCCAAAACTGATGTTTGAGCAGTGACTGGATCATGAGGGTACTAACCTCATCAGTGAATCAATCCATTGTGCATCAAGTTGATACAAGCTGGAGTCATCTGAGAGAAGGGAACCACAAGTAAGAAAATGCCTCCATAGGCCTCTGGCAGTGACTCAGTATTTATCCCTAGTATACGAATGGACTTCCACATAGAGGGATACTGTCTCAGCCTACACACATGGGGCAGGCCCTGCTCCAAATGATATGAAGACTCCCCATGGAAGGCCTCACCCTCCCTGGGGAGCAGAAAGGGGATGGGATGGGGGTTGGTGGAGGAAACAGGGGAGGAGAGGAGGGTGAGGGAACTGGGATTGCTATGTAAGACAAGTTTAAAAATTCTATATAAAAGAAGAAAGAAAATGCCTCCATAACTATTGCGGTAAATAAGGATCAGGATAAA